AACCAGGAGACTAGACGAAAGCATAGAACAGACTACTAGAAGTCTAATTGTATATGATCTATGATTTTTAAAATTTTACTATTGGTTCCCAAGATTGGCAGAAAAGGAAATGTCCTGGCTAAGCCGGCAAAAGATCTGCAAGATATGTGGTGCCAGCATAGAAAAAGAAGTAGAAGCTACTGGATAGTGACAATAAATTTACAAATAATAATTTCAGATAATAGAACAAGTATTATTTAATGAAAATTAGATGTTTCAGTGGAAACTTTTACAATTATTTTCAAGCTTCACCAATTCAAAAAATCTAATGTATGGAATTTTCGTTTAAAACTATTTTATCATACCGTTAATTTATTTAAGTATTTCAGTAGTTTATATTACAAGTTGATCCTAATAATTATTAACATTTTTTCAGGAAACGCAAAAACTATGTTTTCTATTCTAAATTGATATTTTTTTTTTAAATGAGTTAAGAAATTCCTTATTCGTAAGACATATTTATATATTCTGAAAATCACTGGCTATTTCAATGATAATTAAAAATCTGTGCAACTTTAATAGGGCCCATTTTGGAATGAATTACACTCTAAGGCCCGTTTTGGAACAAAAAAAGTGGATGGGGTTTTGTTTTGGAGTGAAAAAATCCAATGCGATTCGGGGGAGTGGAGGAAGAAGTAATAAAAATTGTACCAAAAAAATTAATATTTTATTAATAATAATTGTATGATAAAATAAATTTTTCATTTGAATAAAATTGTCAAAAAAGCTTCTGATCATTTTTTTTTTTTTAAGAAAACAAGAAATGCAAATTTCGTTACATGTTTTGACTAAAAAGGCCTGTTTCGGAAATAAACTTATTTTCGCACCACTTTTTTTAAAGTGTAGGTTTATTTCGGAAAAAAATTAATTGAACCATCGGATACACAGGATAATTCATTCCAACTATAAAATAAATTCATCAAATTAAAAAAATAATACGTTTTTTGTTGTTTTTTAGGGTTTGTCATCTCTATTTTTAGAACAGAAATAACGGTTTACAACCTGTAATGGTACGGGTTAAAAGATCGTGCGGTATTCCTTGGGGATGACATTAAAGTCTCTACTTCCTCCTAAGGGCAGGGGACCTACAATTTTTTCCAGGGGTGGCGGACTTAATTTGGCCGTCCCTTCTATTATCCCCTTTCTTCCTCTTGATAAAAGAAAACAGTTTTTATGAATGTTTAAAGGAATATATTTCGAAAAAAAATATCAACTCACAATAACATTCTGTTGACTGAATTAATGTTAAAATAATCAAATATTTTTTATGTAACCTGAAAATAAATTTTACCTCGAAATTCGCCTTATAAAGTAAGTACCCCTTTTCTTGAATCCCCCGTCTTAAATCCGGCTCTGCTCCCCTCTCTTCATCTTTATTTTTTCTTAATAACAATGTTATCTGTTTCAGGCAAATTAAATGATTGAATTCTAATTTTTTTAAATTGTTATGAATAAAATAAGTTAAAATTGTATCATTGAAATAATTTATTAAGTACTAATGAGATCTTATTGTACTGGATAAAAATATGATTCAGTTAAAATAATGTTTCAATTTGTAACCTTTTATTTTCTATTTTATTTACCGACTTGTGCCGCTAGCGAATTTTCAATTTTTTTTTTTTTTTGTGGATCTTGAGATTTATACAATAAATAAGCAACTATATTTTGGTTAATTTTCGAAACTTTTTGTTCCACCAATTGAAGAAAACTAATATTAACAGTTGTTATTTGACTAAACCTCTAGACCCTCAGAAAATATACATAATTTAACAATTCAGCGATATAATTTCACTGTTTTCGTACGTCCTTAATTTAATATATATATATATATATATATATATATATATATATATATATATATATATATATATATATATATATATATATATATATATATATATATATATATATATGAATGAAATAAACGTATATATATTGTCATCGTATAGTTCCATTTCAACATATTTATGTAAGACATTTCAATTTATAGTATATAAAAATGCGATGCCGCATACATTAGAGTCTTTCGTCTCTCTATTTGACAGTGACAACATGTTTTATAGATATCTATATTTTCTGATTGTAATAATTTAAAAAGAGCTTATTTAAACGATAAAGCTCATCAAAAACGTAAATACGGGGCTATGAAAAAAAAATATAATAATTTAAAAACTATTATTTTATGAAATAATTAATAAATCAAGGCGCATACTCTTTTTTTCAACCCTTTATCATTTATTTTCAATTTACAATATATACATTGCTAACAATAATATATATACTTGGACTATATCTACTGCTCAAAGGCATTCTAAATATAGGAGTGGGGTTTGTGGAATACTAAAGTTTTCCTTTGGCACTGTTTTTTTTTTTTTTGTATTAATCTTTTTATTGAGGTATAATAAATTTTACCACACTTAAAATTACTGAGTGGATTTTGGCACTAGGCATTGTTGTTCTTCACTTGGCCAGGAGGAACTGACGTGATAGTTTAAATTATGCACAATTCTTTTTCGATTTAGTACACTATTTACAAGTTGTAGTGCTCGGACCGAGTCTTTTGCGAATCATGGATTTAATTTGTTGATTAATACTTGTAATTATACTAGAAGAAAAAGGAATAAACTATATGAAATAATGTTGAAGACGTCCATGATGGACTGCCAAAAAAAAAAATAAAATAAGTAAATAAAAAATATTTACAAAAACAATATTCCTTTTGGATATAATTTTTTTCTTGTCATGTCCTTGCATTTAGTAGCTGAAATACCTGTGTTATAATATAAAAAATAGTACCTATTTCGATTGTTTTTAGTATTTAACTTAGATCATTCATAGAAACAAATATATAATAAATAGAATAAAAATATAACTATCCATTTTTGGGGTCCCTCCCAAAATCCCTACCTCCTTTTATCCACCAGTGCACCAAGGTGCTCTTTTTCCATCACCTGACCAGCTGGTGATTACCCATGAACTATATCCATCATTATCGCCGAAGGATACCTATTTTTGACTTCTAAGCAAGGTAGTATAACTCTTAGCAGCGTGAGCAGGCCGTTACACTCCATGATTAAATATGATTTCTAATCTTATTAACGATCTCATTGTTGTGTTGGCGCTTTATTCCGAATTGCCGGCTTGTTTGCTCTTCTCATTTCAGCACAATGAAATTTAATATACAGGGGCTTATTGTTTGACACTCCAACAATCCTCAGTTGGGCTATTTCAGTTTGAATCCTACCTTGGTGCTTTATTCGTTACCGTAAAACGAACACATTTTGCAGTTGGGGAGAGAGACGTTCTACAAAAATTATAACCATATTTTTTTCTTTCAACATTCGGAAATAATTTCTGGTTTTGAAGAGAAACCATTCCCAAGCAGATCTTTTGTTGATATGAAGAAATGAGATAATATTATCACGTCTGAGAAATGGCCACTTGTTTCTCACTACTCAGCAATGACACACTTGTTTCTTCTGGCAAAGGAGAGACCTCTTTTGTGTATTTCTTGTTTGGAACAGTTAACGGTGTCGCACATCTTCACAGTGTTATGTGTTTGAAGCTTATCGGGATGAGGTTGATTTGGAAGATTATAGTGATTCAAGTTTAAAAAAACATAAAGATGGCAAAATTATAGTTTTACTATACTAACTACCTAACTTTATTAACTATACTCCACAATTTTTTCCTATATTTCGTACAATTTTAATATTTTGCACATTTCAATTTGTTGTTAATTTTGTCCCATTGAAAACATGAGGAACTATCACGCATCCAAGGACATCGACAGACTGTTAATACTAAATCAAATTCAAGATATAGAAAAGTCTGTTCCTTTATTACCATCGGTCCAGAAGACTATCTGCAGTCCAAGGCTTTAGATTTGAACAAAATAAGAGCAGTTAGTCGTCTCAGAGTGGCAAGCAATGAGTTTGTAAAATTATTCATAAAAGATGCTTTCCCCACTATTAAATCTAACGAAGTATGTGAAGCATGTAACTGCATCAAGACTGACCCGATGCCTCATATTTTGATTCACTACAGCAAATTTGTGAACCTAGAAATAAGTTCTTAAAGAAATTTATTTTCGAATTGAGGAACGACATTGAAGATGGACAGTGTCGACAAATTTAATCAAATATATTATTTCATATACGGATTTTCAATGAACTGTTATGTAGTATAATTAATCACTATTGAACAATATTAATGCATATTTATTTATTTAATGCCTCTAAAATATTTATAAAAAAAAAAAAAAAAAAAAATTGTTTTGATAATTATATATTTATATGTATTGTTGATAATTCGTTATGAGTCATATTTAATGCTTTGAATTCTGTTAATGTTGTTTGAACACAAAACTAGATATAACCAAACTAATATTGTTCATAAAATATACGTATTTATTTCTTAGTGATCTTTGGCAAATAAAACAACTGCATTACAAAAACAAATTTTTGTTATATCTTATTGCTAAAATATAAATATTGTATTAAGACTAAAATAGCCCTTAAATAGTTGAGAGTCCACAGTGTGATAAATAAGTTTTCTATCGCACAATATCTCTACACCGAAGGTAATGAAAACAATGCCCATTTTTTATTAAATAATTTAGCAGCTAAGAGAAAAATTTCAATATCTCAAGGTTATGGAAAATCTTCTTGAACATATACAAAAAGTTACATGGTGTTGAGTACTCCCGGGATACAGATATGGTATGAGTAGAATCATTTTGGGTTAGTGATTGAAGTGATAAACACTGTCCATCACCAAAGTCGTTTAGCTATATAATTTAAAAGATCCATTGCTTTCTTTGAACAAATAAGTACACGCGCAGATAAGTTTGCTTTGGTGTGGGTTACTTCAAGTGATTCCTCTCAAGTAATATACATGTAATAAAACCACCGAGCCATTTCATTCCTCAAGGGCCGAAGCCATTCCTGATAGCCACTTACCCGTCCCCGGTTCCCCGACAACCCATCAAGATGACAGTTAGTTGACAATCGGCTCCAAATGTGGACGGAAATGGAAGAACATTAGATGCCTGCACATGAGGACACAGAGTCATTAGGTAATGCTGCTCGTGCCTCGCCACCATTACCTCACAGTGGTATAAATCCATCTGACCAGCCTCATTACCCAGTCCATGCGAGAGGAGGATTTGTCAATTATACTCGTGTGCGTTGGTTGCATATGCCCTTGCCCTTTTATTAATCCAGTTTACTGATCTGATGGATCCCTGACTCATCAATTCGATGCATCTCTAATCTTTCATCTATTTCGTCAGGAAATAATATATTTATCGAATGTCGTTAATGTGTATTATCGTACATTTCTGTGCTTCTGCACTATCATTTCACATTTTTACCAACAATCTAATTGTTTAAGAGAACCATTAAAACCTCCCTTTATCATAATTGAAAATACTTTACTACAAATGAGTTTACATTTGTTTCCTAATGTTTACTCTTAATGTTTCTTTTAATTTTTTAAAAATATTTTCAGTCTTAATTTTAGTTTTAAATAGTTGTAATTTTTAAATTTTAAATATATTAATGACCAACGCTAGGAAATACACTAGTGTATTACGAAAGCAAATTGAGCTTTCTTTTCTCTTTCAAATCTATTGATATCGCGTAAAAATTTAAAAAAATCTCAAGTTAATTTTATGCAATAATAAAGCCTGTTTTGATAATAATTGAGAGATCTATACACTAACCAGCACCCTACAAAGAAGTATTGACAGATTTGAGTGAAAAATCCTTTTCACGATAACCGGAGAGATCTGGGACTAGATAACTAACTGAAAGACTAATCAAATACAACAACAAGTACTCCTCACAGAAACTGGTTAATCGATATTTTATGATATAAAAATAAGGAGGTTAAGATGTCTATATAGTAAGCAACAAACAGCTTGTAAGGCCAGAAATCAGATGGATAGATCAAACTAACAAATATGCGATGGAGCTGAATGAAGATAACAATTATTTAATTATGTCACTTTGTTCACTGTTTCATGGATTCCGACAATTCTGCCGCATTTATAATCATTCTTCTGGATTATAACCAACAAGATGTTAAAAAATTTAATCGTTTTGGAGTTCACATATATGACATACAAAATTAAGTAGTTACATATGTGAAATGTATGACACTTGAAGAAGAATATTATAAACCACACATTTATTGACACCTTAATTTGTAATTGAAAAAAAAAAAGCTTGTATGTAAATTTTCAATTACAAATAAAGGTGGGAGTAATTCCTTTTTCATCATTTGAGTTAATAAAAATGAAGGGACATCAATAACTGTGGTGCCAATCACACATCCTTAGGGTGTAAATAACCGATTTAGCACTATTTACTTTAAACTACTACAAAAATTACTTCCATTGATGTTTTTGATATGAAAATTTATATTCAACTAAAAAAAGAGTAAGTCAGGAACATTTACAATGAATTTCAATTTGATTATACTATTTTCTATGAATTTATTATACAAAAATTGACTTAAGGATGACAATAACTATCTTGTTTACCATACTTAAAATAAAATAAAACAATTTTCTTTGTTTAATTATTCTTATTTAAAATCCTTTGTGCTTACTATTATTTTATCTTATTTTTATTGCCGGACTCGAAACGTTAGAACACATAGAATTGTTAATAATTTTGCAATATTTATTTTATTTTTGTTAAAAAATTTGACAAAATCCATAGCTTCTGAAAGCTACTTGGTAATCATCTGATATAAATCTATTACAAACAGTCACTAACATAAGTATATTTTTATTCAAGTTACATTATTCGGTATGTTTTTGTGAATTATACACACACATATATATATGAACATAATTATTTAATTGGGAATTAGGTCACTTTAGGTCATTTTAGGACGTGGCCTAAGATCGTTAAGTCTTTGTGCTTATTCATCGTATAAAAACAATACATTAACATATATAAAGTTCTATGTTTTTTCTTGGCTTCAAAGGCAAGTTAGAAGGTACACTGAAATAGTTTGATAAATATTGAGAGTGAATTGTTAGTTGTCTCTTGTACGTTCATAATGTAATGATTTCACTGAGGATATATTCATCAATGTATCAGTGATTATTGTATAAAATAGTAATTAATACTTTATTGCAATAAACTGTCGAAATATGAAAATGTATAAAATATAAACATTTGTATAAAAATTAAAATATATTTACATAATGTTTTTTTTTTTTCAGGTTAGTTGGTTTCCCTAACAGAAGTCGTCGTATTGTAAGTTTTTCATCGATAGTTTTATCAATCATTATTTTTATATTGATTTTTTATGTGTGTCTGACATTAATAATTATCATAGGATGTGGCTGACAGTGCCATGGTGAATCATCGGAACTACTACTGACTTTTATGAATAGTTCGGAAACGCATCGGTAGTCCAGTCCATTACGTCTATACCGAAGTTAAACAGTCATCGTGCATGAATTAATATCGGCTGACAACTAGGTAGAAAAATGACAAAAATAAAATAATACTCTTTAGATAGAATAGCATATCGCGTTGACTAAAGTACAAGTCTGTGTTGTTTTGTTTCAGTAATAGGGGAGGGGGCGGAAATAGAAACATGGACGACATTTCATTTAATGGCAATCCACTAGAACACCATTGCACATTTTGATTTATGCTTGAGACAGGTATGACGAATGAATTTTCCATCTGGTCATATTTTCCCTCGTGTCCGTATCCTAGCGTAGAGATAAAATCAAGTTTCCTACTGGTTCGGTTCCTGTCACTTCCAATTTCCCCTTCGTCACGAGTCCACGCTACAACTACTTAACCAACTTTTCTTTGTGTGTTTGTCTTGTATCTAGCAAAGTAGTCTGTTTTTCTTTTGTTGTTCCATTTATAAGAGTGAAACTTTTATTTTTATCCCGAAAACACGTTTATACCGTTATCGATGGGATTTGTTATTGGCATTGGAAGTAACTTATGGATTTGATTCCGAAACATCAGCCCTCCATTTACACGTATTTCCAATTCGGTTAGCTATAAAATGGATTAGCTTTATGTTGCTGATATTTAGGTGTCACTGTAATGACACTACACAGAATACCGCCTTTGATATCTTGGAAGCTTTATTATCATATTAAATGTTGAATATTCATGATATTAATACGTACAGAAACTGGTAGTACAGTACTGGTAAAAGGCAGGATATCTTTAATGAGTTATATTCAACTCGTTTGCTTAATTTTCTCTGTTAACAACCAAAATGGGAGCTCATGTTATTTGAAACAATCACAAAGGGCGTTAAACCAAATAAATAAACAATAGGTTATCAAAATGTATATGGAACATTTTATTATTTTTTTTATATTCTGCTAGTGGGGTAGAATTTCTATCAGGTTTATTTTAATAAAATCCCAGAAAAGTATGTGTGTAAAAAATAATAATTAAGAGAAATAATTAATTTAACTTCAATTGTGGTAAATAAGTTTTGAAATATATGAAATATTCTTTTATTAAATTTTAAATAAGTAAATACGTTTTATTTATTTTTAAATAAAACTATTTAATTAAATTATATATAAGTATATATACATGTCCAACTAAATCAATTTTAAGACTCTATTTAATAAAACTGATTTAGTGATCCATTAATGGATTTTTTTACAGAAAAAGTTTTTAAATGTGTTTTTTTTTAATACGTAATAAAATATTTACAAAGCTATAGATAAATCACTATAAAACTTTCAGAAATTTATTAATTATAATGATTTATTGATGATAGGGTGGGGATTTTAGGGCGATAAATGCGAGATTTTTACGCCCGTGTATTTCAGTGTAACTTTTGTGTTGCCTGTTTTACAAGTGGGGGTTCATGGCCTCTCATTAAGTAACCGTGGGTGAGCGCTACATTTCCGATTCTCAGATTTATCAAGATTATTTCTTCATATCTGGAATTTCATGGAAGCACATCTTTTTAAATTTTTTGGAGTAGGTTTGTGGTTTTACTTCCTTTGTCATTGATGTTGTGAAGTTCTTTTGCACCATCTTCATTTTAAGATCTGTCGTTGTCTCGCTCAGTTTCCTTCTTGCGAGGATCGTTGCTCTGTTCGCAGCTTCATTTACGGATATACTAAAATATAAGATAATCTTGATAGTACGGTATCTCAATCCGTCGACTCCTGCTTCTGTGGGCAGTGGCAATTTTCTTACACTGACATTTTTTTATTTTCCGGGCAATTGCGTTCTTAGAGATTTCTTTAGCAATAGTCATGAATGAATTTAAAGTGTCCGAAGCTAGAAGAGCCTTATGATCGTTGTTATGATTGCAAGACTTGTTTTATTTCGAACAGTTTGCCTTTGAAGACGATGTTGTGAATTGAACTTTAACAACTCATGTCTTCTAAGTCACAGTAAACTTGATGGATTGTTATCAAATCACAAGATAATTAAGTTTCTGTCGTAATGTCATTGCATTATATTAACATGGTTTGCAATTTCGTTTTAAATTGAGGTCTATATAAAACTTTTATCTTACCACTAAGTAAGGGATCACCGTTTGTATCACTGATAACTAGGTTTAAGTAATTTAATAACTGAAACATGAAAAGTATCGTGGTCATTTAAGCTTACCGATGATACTTGAATTTCATATTTGTTTCCAGGTATTTTTCTTTATCACCGAAGAAATTTCCGTTTATTGTGTTGTTATTTTATTACATGTTGATAAGTGTAAAGGTTAATTTATTACATAGTAATGGATATTTAACATTCAATGAATTATTCTATTTATCTTTGTAAATACAAATTATTTTAAAATTATCTAAGATCTCAAAACCTAAAATATTTGAACTAGTTGGGATATTCCATGTCCGACAACATTTTTTCTTTAAATCTCCTCTCTTTTGACAAGGAGAATTAGGAAATTTTTGCTTTCTCGGTTATCGCGTGAATTACCATAAATGACGCATTTCCTTCCTTGATGTCTTATCAAAATACTTTATGAGCTCGCCGGAACCACTCTGATCTAGATTTTGCTTTCGCTATATCCGCATTATTTATTTTTCCAAGCAACAATGAAAAATATATGTATGTTTTCATG